GTGTGTGTGTGTTCACTGCTGTGTGTGTGCACTTTGGATGGGATAAATGCAGAGCACTAATTCCAAGTATGGGTCACCATTTTGTGTCGATTATCATGATGAACAAAACATGTAAGAATCATAAAAAGAGCTTATTTTCTGCAATAAACCACTTGAAAAATCATGTTTGGTTTTTGTCAAGGGTAGCAGGGTGCTGTTAACCTCTGGGTTGGCCTACAAAAATACTTCACCCCAGCAGCACTTGCATGTTCATACCATGATACATGAATATGACAATCATTCGGTATCATGGTATGTATAAAGTATGAATGTCAGTGCACTTTACATGATTCAGTAGATGCATCTATGTACCATTTTCTTTACAGAGCACAAAGAGAAGCTCAGCCGCACAGTGTTTGATATCAGTGTCGACATGGGTCATTAGTCGCACTAGTTTGCTCCTCAGTGTGTTCCTCTGTTCAGGCCTTATCTCAACGTCTCTCAGTGGAGGCAGGATCTGTTCAAAAATAGCACAGGATCAGGCTCCTGGTGCACAGCCATGAGAATAACAAGTATATGTTGAGTCAAACTTAATGTTTCAAGTTTATAGAGTGCTCCAAAAGTAACACCTATACTCACACCAAGGATGATAACTATAAGGATAACAATAACTATACAGTTTTTAGTAATCGTTCTAATTCTATGAGTCCATACCACAGCTATAACGATAACGGCACAGAGGGAAAATGTAGTTAAAATCACTTTCAGAATGAATTATCCAGCTGATATATAATAAAAACATTGACAGCCAAACAGACAACATAACTGCAGCATGCTCTTATAATAAGTTGAACGCTAATGTAATTATTGCTATAGTTATCTTTATAGTTATCGTTCTTGGTTTGAACAGTTTAAAACACTGAAATGGTGAAAATGTTTAAAAAAGGTATTTTGAGGTATTGTACCTGCTGTCTGAGATAGTGCCTAGTTTCCCTGTGTGCTTTGCTGCTCTCAGTCAACAGGTTTAACACTGGAGCCAACTTTTCCTTCAGCTTATAGCCCTGTATAATTCACATTTAAAGACATTACATTTTATAATGAAATACATTGTACAAATGCAAAATACTTAGGCATACAAGTCTTATATATATA